CTCCGCCTCCCGGGTTCCAGCAATTCTCCTGCCTCAGCCTCCCGAGTAGCTGGCATTACAAGCATGTGTCACTACAACTGGCCAATTTTGTATTTTTCTTTTTAGTAGAGATAGGGTTTAGTAGAGACCACACTGGTCAGGCTGGTCTTGAACTCCCAACCTCAGGTGATCCACCCGCCTCAGGCTCCCAAAGTGCTGGGATTACAAATGTGAGCCACTGCGCCTGGCCTACTCTCCCATTTCAAGCAGAATAAAAAAAGAATCTTCTTGACCCTATATTCACCAACTCTGCTCCTCTTTATCATAAAACTCATCACAGGAACTGAACCTGTTCACTGCCTCCCATTCTTCTCCTTCTATTCACCTACCTGAATCAGGTCACCACTACTCCACCAAAACAGTTCACATTGTCATCCCTGACCTCCTTGTTATGAAATCCAATGGTCAACTCACTTCCTTGACCAATCAGCAAGCATTGGGCACAGGTGACAAGCCACTCCTTCTCTGTTCACTTTCTTCCTCTGGTTCCCAAGACACCTTACTCCTGTTTCTTATGACCTCATTGATCGTTTCTACTCAGTCTGTTTTACTGGTTCTTCCTCTTCTTCCAAACCTCTTAAAATGGGAGAGCCCCCGGGATCAGTCCCTGTTCCTCTTCACTTTTCTATCTAGTCTCACTCCCTTGGTGATCTCTTGCCAGCCTTGTGATTTCAAATGACATCTACATGCTAATAACTCCTGGATTTCTCTCTCTTGAACCCTAGTCTAACATATCCAACTACCAACTTAACATATTCATTCAGATGTAATAGGCACCTCAGACACAATATGACCAAAACTGAACTATTCATCTCTTCCAACCCAAATCTGCTCTACCAGTCTTTCCAGTCTCAGTCGACAGTAACTTTATCCTTCTACTTGCTCTACACAAAACACCTGGAGCCATTTTCTTATATTAGGGTATAATTGATACATAAAATTTGTACCCATCTTATGTATATATTTTGATGAGCCTGAACATATACATATACTTGGGATACCAACCCCCACCAGCCAAGGTACTAAACACATCCATTACCTCCAAAAATGTCCTTGTTGGAGTCATTTTTCACTTCTTTTTTTTTTTTCTTGAGACAGAGTCTTGCTCTTGTCACACAGGCTGGAGTGCAATGGCACGGTCTCAGCTCACTGCAACCTCCACCTCCCAGGTTCAAGTGATTCTCCTGCCTCAGCCTCCCCAGTAGCTGGGATTACAGGTGCCCGCCACCACACCCAGCTAATTTTTGTATTTTTAGTACAGATGGCGTTTCACTGTGTTGATCAGGCTGGTCTCAAACTCCTGACCTCAGGTGATCCCCCTGCCTCAGCCTCCCGAAGTGCTGGGATTACACGGCGACTGGCCACTTCTCACATCTCTTATACCTCTCATTCAACCCATCAGGAAATCCTGTTGTTCTATCCTCAGTGTATATCCGTCTCCACTGCTCCTACTGATGGATCTGTGTCATCTCTCACCTGGATTACTGCTGCACAGCTCCCCTCAACTGGTCTCCCCGCTTCTATGTAACCCACACCTCCACCAATAATCCATTCTCAACACAACAAATGGAGTATCATGACATTCCTCCCTCACCCCATCAAAACTTCTGATGGGTCCCCATTTCATTCAGAATGATGTCGTTTGGTTCTGTGTCCCCACCCAAATCTCATCTCGAATTATAATCCCCACATGTTGGGGGAATGGCCTGGTAGGAGGTGACTGATTTATGGGGGTGGACTTCCCCTTGCTGTTCTGGTGATGGAGTTCTCACAGGATATGATTAGGTTATGTTACATGTGTGGCACTTCCCCCTTCTCTCTCTCTCCTGCTTCACCATAGTAAAATGTGCTTGCTTTCCCTTCTGCTGTGATAATGTGTCCTGAG